CCTGGCTCACGGGCAGCGTCCTAGATGACATACGTGGGAAAGCGCAGCACGTGCGAATGTCTCCTTGGGGCCCGGACACGCCGGGATCCCGGGTTAGCTGTAGGATGGTCTCAGTCTGGCTTTGGTTTCCTATTAAAGCTGCTTTGATCTCCGTTCAACCATTTTAGCAAAGCGTGTGGCTTCTGCTTCCAGGAGGGTCTCGAGTGGCCGCATCTGCTGGCGCTCCTTGATAAGGAGTGTGGTATGAGCACCCGGTCTGAGCAGGACAGCTTAATGACTTCCCACAGTAACGTCTTATATCAAAGATGATTTTCCTTAAGCCTGGAGTTGAAACAATATCTTCGGCTCAGAAATAAATAAGCTTAGAGGGAGGAAATGAGAATCTTCTTTGCTCCTTACAATGCTTTTGCTTTTTAAAATTTCATAAGGTGCTTTCATTACATAAAAAAAATCTACCCTTTTTTTCTTTATCTTGTATTTTGTTCCCCTTGGCTTCACTGGGAGATTTGAAAACGAACCGATGTGGAAGGTAAATCCTGGCAAGTGTCATGCAGTGTGTACTTCCAGCTCGAAAGCGGTTAGACCTTCAGCTGAATTTTAGTTAACGTGCTAGTATTTCAGCAGACTCCTAAAGTCTTCCTCGATGAAATGCTTTTTTCTAAGCAGTTAATTGTGACAGAAGCAAGCTAACAAAACTAAACATGAGGGATCTCTAAAAATGATCATATGTAAAGTATGAATTTGACAATTACTATGGAAAGCCAAAAGAAGGCTTTCATTAGGCTGTTTGCTTTTTCATGATAAGCTATTGGGATTATAATGTAATTCCATTGTTTCAGATCATTTCAACAGAAAGAATCAGGAATAAAAATGGAAGGGAAGGGCCAGACGGAAACCATGCATTTAGGGGATATTATCAAGCAGAGCGCTGTGTGCAGGACACGGGGCCTGGCCTTGGCGGGAAAGGACATGCATACGGGGGCAAGGCGGACGAGCAGCAGACTGGGCAGGCCTGCGTTTGGTAGCAGGTGGAAGGAAAGGGGGGGAAGGAGACGTCGCTTCTTGTTTGGGTGATCAGGGAAAGTCTCCCACGGAGGGGGCGTCGGCCAGGGACGGAAGGGGGCATTGCTCGTGGCGAGAGTGGCAACAGTCAGGGAGGGAACCAGAAAGCTACAGACAGGCTTATCATGGGAAAATACACAGGTAAGCAGGTAGTGATTCCGTAGTGCACGTTGGTGTTCCGTGAACTAGTTGATAAAACCCCTGAGGACACAGCAGAGAGGCAGCAGAGCGTTCCGTCTCCTGGCCCGGCACCCTTCCAGCTGTGTGACGGTGGTTAAGCTACAGGAGCTCTCTGAGCTGCACAGTCCTCTCGTGTGAGGTGGGGTTTTCACATCAGGATCGCTGGCAGGAAGTAAGTGAATGCACGCAGAGAACGTAGCGTAGGTTAGGCCCAGAGACCGTGGCAAGTAAACACGGACTCTTAACGGCCATAAACACCAAATCATCCAGAATGAGGAGTTTCTCCTTTGAGGATCTTTCGAGAAGTGGGGAGCGTGTTGCGGGCTCCAGGGGTCCATCTCTAACCCTGGCACTGCTTCCAGCTGGCCTGGCACCCCCAGAGGAGAAGGGGGGCAGGCAGGGAGGCCTCAGAGCAGGGTTCCCGCAGAGGCACTTGGCCAGGCCACTGGCTACAAAACCTGCCTGCGAGCGGGCGCCCTCTGCTGGCGGCTGAAGAAATCTTTCCAGGCCTGCACTGGGGCGTTCTGGAAGCTGTCCTCATCACAAGTCCTGCTCCGACCTGGCTTTGGGCGTCTGGTGCAGGAACTGCCCGGGACTTCCCGCAGATCCGAGCTTTTGGGCTCCGCTGTAGGTGCTGTGCAGGAGGCAAGTGAGGCCTATCGGGCTATTTGGAAGGGACCAAGCTGTGTGCTGTCCACACCAGGTGTGTGATAATGTTGCCAAAGACACGGCTGGCGGGCTGCACATGTGAAGAACGTACTCAAGAACGCTCTGGACGGGAAACAGTTCACTCTCAAAAAAGCAAGAACCAGGGCTTCTGGGGGACTCAGTCAGTGAAGCGTCTGCCTTTAGCTCAGGTCACGGTCTCAGGGTCCTGGGTTCAAGCCCCCTATCAGGCTCCCTGCTCAGCGGGGAACCTGCTTCTCCCTCGGCCCATGCCCCTCCCTCGTGCACTTGCTCTCTCTTGCCCCACTCCCAAATGAATAAATAAAATCTTAAAAACAAAAAACCCCACAAAAGATTCCCTTCTTGTTACTGGTAGTCCTGAACATTAGCTACTTCCCCCCGTGGGGTCAGCAGGTGCCCAGGTATGTGACCGCGAATGGAAACCCAGGGGCACAAGTCAGGTCTTGGAAGCATTTCTACTTTGATTTGTGTGCAAATGTTTAACAGGAAAGTAGAGACGTGTAAAGCACTTGCGCAGGTCAAAAGGCTCCGGCAAGAAACTTCGGCAACTGAAGTTTGTGACAATTACACACAAACCTGTGAAGGCTTTCTGGATCGTGCAAGCACTGGGATTTTCTTAGCGCGAGCAGGTCGTTTATGGACGGTAGCTGAACGGTGTTCGCCTATCTCTAGCTCACACGGGATCCCGCGCAGGCTCTTCTCCCTCGTAAGTGGCCCCGCGCGCAGGTGCATCTGTCTTCTGGCCGTCCGGTCACCTTGCTCTTGAAATACACGAAACTCTAGAAACATCTTCCTGGGGATAGTTTCAGCGTTCCCTGCGCTTCCTGACTGGCTGCACTAGCTTCTGGATACATCCCAGTCGGTGCCAGCGGTCTGAAGGATTTGGGGCCCCACACGCACGGCGTTCCCTTGCCAAAAGAAACGGAAATGAAGTTTCTGGAAGGCACAGCATTTTTTCAGTTGGCACGATAAAGTAGACGGACGCTGTCCTATTCCTCAAACCGACTTGTGCTGTAACTACTACCTACCGCTAGAGCACGAGTGAGAACAGAAGTGGAATCTGCGCCCGCTGCTTGCTTGTCAGGAGGACGGGACGAGCCGGCAGACACTGTTGGTAAAATGTGTTCCCGCCCTCCTCTGTCTGTGTCTTTGAGGAAGTGCTCAAGATTCGTTGACACAGAGCATCAACTTAAGAATAGGTGTTGTTTTAAAAACTATTTTAAGTGTTATTTTAAAAGTTATATTTAAAAGTTATTTAACGAGTTGTTAATCTAGAAGTGTTATTTCTAAAAGTATTTAAAAATATGTCATGGTTGCCAGCGCGCTGCACGGAAGGCCAAGGGCAAAGCCGAGGTCCGCTGGCTGAGTGTGCACCGGGGCCAGTCAGATGCGAACGTACGCTGGGCTCCACCCTGGCTGGGCTCCACCCTGGCTGGGCTCGTGGGAGTGCTGTACAGTGGGACAGTGTCCCCTCACGTCCTCTGGGTACCCCCGAGAGTAAGGCCGCCGGAGAAGAGGCCACGTGCTCCAGCCGTCCTTCAGTCTTGCTTCCGAGGGTCACAAGCGTGTGCGTCCCTGTGCGAACACCGGGCACGAGGGGGGTCTTGCTTTCCCTGCTCAGTGCTGGGCGTGCAGGCGCGAGGCCGCGTCTCCGGGAGGTGGCGGGTGTGGCGCGGGGGCCGAGGTCTGCAGCTCTCACGCGCCTGCCTTCCACAGGGTGATCGACTTCTCCTGCGGGCGCCCCTGAGCCGTCACGGCGGCGCCTTGGGCAGTCCCAGGCACTGAACCACTGGGACTCATTCGAGCCTCCCACCCTCCTGAGGCCCTGGGACACCTGCCACTCTGCAGCCAAGGAAACTGAAGCCCAGAGAGGTCCCCGATGCAGGCACAGCCGGGAGCTCGTGAGCGGCCGGGGGGGACCTGAGCGCATGAGCCCCACACGGCCCGCGCCGCCTGTCCTGGCCCTCACGGGTCTACGGATGGGTCGCTTCAAACCCCGAGCCTCGCTGCAAGGGGCAGGAATCCCTGGTGTCCCAGAGCCCCCGACACCTGCCTTCAACCTCCGTGTTCGTTCACCACGTCAGCCAGCAGGGCTGCAGGGACGAGCGCAGGCCCTGTGCCAAAGGACACGGTGCTTCCGGGTGTGCAACAGGAGGAAATCCAGGCTCGAGGATGTGAGCTTGTGACTAACTGAAGTTTTACTTGCCTTTTTCTTTTCCTTTTTTACGAGATATAACTCGTGTGCCGTCAAGATCACGTTAAGGTCTGGAACCCAGTGGTTTTTAGTATGTTCACACGGTTTTGCAAACACCAGTCTAACTCGGGTACACTTGCAACCCCCCAGGAGAAACCCCAGACTTGTCAGAGCCACTCCCCAGCGTCTGCACCCCCAGTCCCTGGCAACCACTTTTCTGTCTCTCTTCTCTTGGGATTTGCTCATTCTGGGTGTTGTGTGGGCTCGGACTCACCTCGCGTGTGGTCTTCAGGGACCGGCCGCATGCACGGAACGCCGTGTTCTCTGGGGTCATCGTGCTGGGGACGTGTCAGCGTTTCATTCCTTCTCGTGATGGATTATATTCCCTAGTGTGGAAGGGAAGGTGTCTGTCCACGCATCAGCTGATGGACGTGGCCTTCGCTTTGAAGTTGTGCTTCTGGGAAGGTTCCCTGTCAAAAATAAAACTTTAATCTGTCAGATCTTTTGTCTTGGATATGCTAAGGATCCAACTCATTCTGCCTCAAAGGTTTTATGACAAAATCTGCCACTGCAATGAATGACGCAGACCCTTCCTTCCGCTGGACCGCCCTGTGGCTGGGCCTGCCTTCTGCTTCCAGACCTTGACCTTGCAGGGGGCGGGGCATTGTCCCCAGGCTCAGCAGACAGGAGGGCATGCGCTTTTCTCCACGCCCCTCCCCATACATACTATCATGTAGTATTGTAGCCGGGCGTTAGTGCCCCGATGCGCTGGGCTTCTTCCTCCCTGAGTTGAGTCTGGCTCTGCGGCAATGATAGGCCGTGCTTGTGAGACTTGGGCTCATGAAACGCTTTTCCTACAATCTCTGTCTCTTTTCAGGTCGACCCAGTGTTCACGAGAGAAGTGCAGGCCAGAGTAAAGAGGTAAGCGGAGGAGGCGAGCAGCACCCTGCAGGAGAGGAAGCCCAGCGGCCAGTCCCTCCCCCCATTCCTGTGCCGCCCAGATGCTGTTCCCGGCAGCTCCGGGTCACCTCCCCAGGGGTCCAGGCGCTCCTGCTTCCCCCACCTGACAGGAAGGATGCCTCACTGGGAGCCTGAGCAGCCCCCACGGGGGTGGAGATACCCGCACTCACTCGCGCAGGGAAATGCTTTGAAGTTCTAATTTCCACTGATCACTCTGGCAAAAACTAAAAGACCTAAAATATCAAGCACTTGGTGGAAACGAGGGTGCGTTTGCCAACCCGTTCCAGACAGTCCAGACACCGGCTTGAACACACTGCGGCTAATGCCTCACATAAGAAACCACCAGATGTGGTTGGCCCAGGACCACATCCTTAGGGTGACAGGTGGCCCCAGGGCCCCTCCAGTGCTCTCCCAGTGTTTAGTGGGGGTACAGGGAAGGGTAGGGACCAAAAGGGTCATCTCCCATTTGGGTCAGCCCCCTTTTAGATGGTTTCCCCACGGCCCCCCAGGACGGCCCCTCCATGCCACCGGCCATGGTCAGCACAGGGGACTGGGAAGTCCTGATCTCTCTCCGCAGATAAGCAGGCATCTTTAATCACTGGCCTGCAGATAAAACCACACACAGTTAATGTGAGTGTAGAGAGGGTGTTGCATGGACGCGCATCAGAGTTGCTGGATAAAAAAACCAAGAAAAAACCTCTGGGCGGTGGGCACCAGGACACTTGTTGTAGTCTCCATTGTGGCATTTCTGTTTCTGTTTCTTGTTTGTCTGCTACTGTACAAACATTTGAAACATTTGAAACAAGATTGTGTTACTAGAGTGTCCAGAACCTACGTTAGACCTGCGGTACCTAGGGGCATGAGTCACATTGGGGCAGGGAAGGACGGAGACCCCCCTCCCTACTGTGCCGTCCTAAGGCTGACTTCTCCGTGTGGAGAGTGGCTGTCCTCCCCCGGCCCCCTCCCCGCCGGACTCACAGAGGCAGAAAGCTGTCCCCTGCTGCTGTTTCAGGACGGCCGGGGTGCGGCTGCTCGGAGAGATGCCCCAGGAGGACCTGCATGCGGCCCTGAAGAACTGCTTCGCGGTGGTGAACAGCTCTGTGTCCGAGGGCATGTCCGCTGCCATCCTGGAGGTGAGGCCCCAGCGCGAGCCCCCAACATGGGGCCGGGAAGTGGCAGCCCCTCCGGGTCTCATTTGCGGAGGTGTCCTTGTCCATCAAGGTCTGCGCCACTCAGAGCCGTGGAAAACAGCCTTTCTTGGGAACCTCAAAAGTAGTTTTTGTTTATTTAACAGTCAGAGATCACAAGCAGGCAGAGAGGCAGGCAGAGAGAGAGGGGGAAGCAGGCTCCCCGCTGAGCAGAGAGCCTGATGCGGGGCTCGATCCCAGGACCCTGAGATCACGACCTGAGCCGAAGGCAGAGGCTTAACCCACTGAGCCACCCAGGCGCCCCTCAAAAGTAGTTAAAAAAAAATATTTCGTTTCTCTTTGCCATTTGTCCTTGCCACCTACAAAATAAAACAAGGTCACCTCTCTGACCTGCTAAGTATCCTTGATAGAGGGCACAGCAGCAGTCGGAAGAGGTGGGGCTAGGAAATGGGGTGAAGGTGTGTTTGGGCAAGAAGCCCCCTTCGTGATTTTCTTCTCCTCCTTCTCAGTGTGCTCTGTAATCCTGAAATTCAGGGGACAACAAGGGTGGGACTTGTGCATGTGGTGGGGGTGGGGGGACCATCATGGAGCAGGGGTGACGGGTGCACGGGGAGGGGCTGGGCAGGGGCGTGAAGGGAGAGCTGATCCCCTCATCTAGCATTCGGCACCGGAAAGGACTTTTTCCTTTGTCTTGTTTTGTTGCCACATCCTCGCGGGCTGGCTTCCCTCTCGAGAGCGAGCCCAGCACAGGGCGGCCTCCGTTTCCCCGTCCAGACCCGCGCTCCCTCCGGAGCTTCCGCAGCAGGTTCCGGCTCGCGCCGCAGCACGGGGCAGGCGCGCACAGCGCTGGCGCGGGGACCTGCCGGAGGGCGGGCGGCGCCGGCACTGGGCCTCCGGGGCTTCGGAGCGGGCTCCACGCGTCCTGTCTCAGCAGCTGAGCCCTGCCTGCCGGGAGCGACGCCGTCCTTCCGGCTCCTTGTCCCGTCCGTCCCCCTCCGGGGCCAGCTGCCTCCGCTGAACTTGCCGCCAGCAGGTACGGCTTCGGTCCGCGCAGCACCGCACTTCCCGAGGCGCCCAACAGGAGGCCTCCCTGCACCGAAGGACCGCGTCCCTCCCCGCCTAGTGTCTCCTCCCGGCGTCCTTTAAAAAAGCACAACGCAAAACCCAAAGCAGCCTCGGGGCCAGGGCGGAAGCGCCACATCCGGCCTCGCTGCCCAGCGCGCCGCGGACCGGAAGCCGCTGGTCTTCAGGCGGAGGCGGACGCGATCCCAGCCGGCCGGAGGCCCCCGGCCCGTCAGCCGCCCTCCGTCCCCGGAGCCGCGCCCTTCGCTCTTGCTGCAGCCTCAGGAAGGCACGTTCTCCCGCCGCGGCCTGAGCTGCTCCCTCGACTGGGAGTACGGGCTTTCTGGCTCAAGGTCCGAGGCAGTAGCGAAGCAGAACTCAGGGAGGGCTTCATCACTGGCACGTGGCGCCGCCACTGCCGGGCACTTGCTGGCAGATCTCATTTCCTTCAAAGGAAGGCAGCTGCTGGCAAATCCGTCTTAAATGTTGACGCTGTGCTCCTTTTGAAAACTCCAAAATAACCCTTGGGTTGAGGGTTCTGAATGAAGCTGATTTTAGGGGAGTGGTCCTGGTGCGTGTCATTAGGGCCCATTCAGATGACCGGAGCGGTTAATCACAGAACGAATGCGCGTCGCTTTGGAAGGAAGGGATGTTTCGACCTCCCAGAATTAGTGTTGTTTTCCCATGGAAGCATATAAAAATCTCATTTGCTAAAATACGTCTCTCATGGAGAGACTCAAGAATTCAAGCTCAAGCGGGAAGCGTGAGCCTTGGGGCAAACATTCCTACAGCGAACGTGTGGTGTCAAGTCTGGGCTTGTTACGGACTTGACTACCCCAGAGTGAAACGAAATAGGCCAGAAAAGTTTGCTCTTACCACAGGCCTCCTACTTGGGTTTCCTCCCCGCCCCAGAACACGCGCGCAGGCGCAGGCTGCCTCCTGGTCCATTTCCGCTGCCCCGGGAAGGAGACCATATTCTAAAGCCCAAGAGAAGCAAGGCAGTTCTTGGGCTCTTGGCTTCTGGACCGAGACCCGAGTGACGGCAGGCTCACTGGGGGGCTCTCCGAGGACAGCTGTGACTCCGCCCTTTCGGCCGTGGCTAGTTTCAAAGTGTGTCGGCTGTGTGGCCGTGCTGTGCCCTTCCCACTTAAGAAACGGAGGCGTCACATGAAAATGGTGTCACTGGCGTTTAGTTCGGGGTGGGGGGGAGGGGCCTGCAGGCAGCTGAAGTGTTTTTCAAGGCACAAGATGGTCTCTTGCATCCAAGCGTTGCTCCCCAGATGCCCTGGGCGTCCGCGCTGAGAAACGTTCTACCTTGAGCGACATAAGATCCGAGTGCAGTGCGGTGTGCTGTGGGGACTCTCAGACCCGCCTTGTCCGCATCTGACAGGCAGCTGCCACTGTACTGGACACGCGCTGGTCAAGGCTGGGAAGACACAAGCTAACCTCTCCACCAGAAAACCCGGAATCCGGGAAATCGGAATTCCTTCCCTAAGTACAGGCGACGGGGCCCGCACTTCCGGCGTTGGCGGAGGGAGCCCTAGCAGCTGCGTTTGGAGACGGATGTGTGTGTGGAGGGGAGGCAGCGCCTCTGGAATCTTCTGGAAGCTCTGCAGAAAATGGGGCACGAGCTACAACGGTTCTTCTTGAGGTGGAATTGGACGTTTCCATCCACTGAGGACAGGTGGAGAAGCTCCACCGGAAGAAATCAGGGTGTGCGGACTGAACCTGGCGCAGACACCTGTCACTCTTGGAACCCCGGAACCAGGTGCGGACTGCTGTCCCCCCGTGCCTCGTCTCTGTTCACCAGCAGAAAGCGTGTGCGGGGTGCACACGCCCAACTCCCCACACCGTGGAACACCAGACACCGCTGCCAGCCGGGTCTTGTCGGGACAAGCTTCACGCCCTCGTCCTGCCCTGGCACCTCGCCTTTATTCCAGGCAGCTTGTTTTTAAGGAGGTGACGTCACACCTTGAGACAGTGACGTAAGACTCAATCATCAGATGCCCGAGTGCCGTGTCTTGCAGCATGAGAATAGCCTTCCCACCCACTTCCTTCTGAAGGCGTGTCCTTTCCTGGCCACAGTTTGGTTCTCAGGAGAGGACTTCACAGTTCCTTGTCTGTGACTACATGACATCAAGTCTCTTTTCGGGAGCGTCTGCCCACCCCCACTCCTTGGGGATGCAGAGCCTAGAAACGGTCATCGCACTAACACGCCTGTGAGTTCTTTCCTTCCACCGAGGTGCACCGGGTGTGCTGGGTCTGGGCTGAGTCCTGGAGACACAGCAGTGAGCAGGACCCAGAGAAGTCCTGGTTCCTGGGGAATTTCTGCCCATTTGGGCTGAAAGAGGGAACTGGAAACCAGAAGTGAGAAAATCCATAAATGAATGAAATAAGCTCTGGGCAAGAAACAAAGGGGGGGGACCTGCGACAGGGTGGGAGACGAGGCTCTGGTCAGCCGCTGGGGAGGCAGTGCTGGTCAGTGGGGAGTGTAGGCACAGAGCTGTGTCCCTGCAAGAGCCAAGGGTCTGGGTCCCACCCTCAGGACCTCTCCTGGACATGGGGTCTGCGTTAAGATGGGTCATTAGGTTGGACCCCGAGCCACTGTGCCAGGTATGCCGGTAAGAAGAGGGGATTTGGACAGACAGGTGCGCAGAGACAACGGGAGAAGATGGCATCTCCTAACCGAGGGAGCCCTGGGCCAGATCCCTCCCCGCGCCCTCAGAAGCAATGGCCCTGAACCTTCTCTCGGACTCCCGGCCTCCAGAACCATGACCTTCCTCAGTTTAAGCCACCACAGCTGCAGTGCAGTTTCCTGAGCACACTCCTGCAGCCAGAGCGTGGCCCTTGAACCTGGCCCTGAACGAGGAGAAAAGCCACCCCCACCAGGATCTGTGGGAAGAGAACCTGCTAGAGGGAACGGCGGGAGCACTACGGAGCCGTCAGAACCAAACACATCCCCGCCCCAAGCCTGGCGCTCTGCCTGGCGGTAAGCCACCCCCTTCTAGGAGCAACGTGGCTTCCGCAGAAAACACTACCAACCCCGCTGCGGTGGCCATCCTGTGGGAGACACTCGCCACATGGACAATGTGCGTCAGCAACCCCACCTGTCCCCGACAAGGAATATCTCTAACAAGAGCTATCCCTGGACAGTCAAGACAAGGCACTAAAGAAGGAAAAAGCCACAGAATTGATCACCAGACAGAAAACAAAGACATTTTGGAGATAAAGAAAAACTCCTTACTTTATGTTCTATGACATCACCGCACTTACATGTCACACCGTAATGCTTCAGCACCGTAGCAATGAGCAGTTGGCAATGAAGTATCCACTCACTGGGCAACGAGATTTACCGAAAAACAATGTCTGTGGGCCTGCCTTTATAGATCCTTATTTCGGGCTTTTGTCCCTGACCGTAGAACACACTCTGAAGAAATTCAGAGCTCTTCCGCACTTTCTCAAATCCTTCAAGAATACAGCAGTTTTACGGAGCTGTAACTCACAAAATGAGCATCCATCCGCTCACTCACTCACTCGAAGCACCAGGTTCATGCAAAGTGTGCGATTCAGGAGTGTCTAGCCTGTCCCCAACCTGGGAGCCATCAGCATTAACAATTTCAGGAAATTTTCATCAACCCAGAAAGAACTCCTGGACACATCCTCAGGCACTCGCTGTTTCTCCCCAACGCCCACCCCCCGCCAGGCCAAGTCCACCCTGAGACAACCGCCAGTCTGTGTCGCTCCAGGTCTGTGTCCTCCAGACATTTCCTCTACAGGGAAGCTGAGGACATGGGGGCTTAGGGACCTGCTTCTGTCACCAACTTAATGTTTTCGTGCTGCGGGACGCGTCTGGACCTCGTTCCTTTGTATCTGTGAGACATGCCGTGGTGCAGACGCACTGCACTTAGGATCTCTCGCCGGTT